CCCATTAGCGATGCATTCGTAATTCTGACTCTAGCTTGTTTCAAACCCATACACACACACACACACACAACCCCCAGTGCAGAGGATTTCAAGGTTTAGCTTGCATAACAGGTAACAGCAGGCATTTCCTTCTCCTGTGTCGGGATATCCTGGCGCCCTTCAGTCTCTCTCTGACTGTATTTAAAAGAGACTGTAACACAGGAAAAAAAAATCACGTCTAAAATTAGCAGCCAGATAGAATAAAGGCACACAGCCGGTCCTTGTACTGTTTGTCAATGAAACAACAAATCTAGAGAGGGCCAGAATGCATTTCCTCTGTATGGAAAAACAAGGGAGTGCAGTTTGGACAGCAAGAGGATGGAGCAAAGGGAAGAGAGCGTTTCAAAGAGAAGTCGAGATGGGGGTGAGGATGGAAAGTTTTTCAAGCAGAGTAAACTTACTAGGAACAAATACACATGACATGGAAGGCCATCATGCTGAGCCTCAGTACCTTACAAAAAGCAGGTAGAATATAGGTTTTGGTATGACTAGGTGATGTGGATGGTGCCTCCACTTGGTTCCTCTTCTCTGTCACGTTCCTCGTATATTGTGTCGCATTAAGCATTCCATCCCATTTATCCGAACCTGGACCATTAGATTGTTGCTATCAGCATTTAAAACTGAAACTTTTATGTGTATTTTTATTGCCCATATCCCCTTGTTGGTTCAAGTTCAAAATTACCTTACTTAGAATCTTAGAATTGCACAACTGGAAGGGACTCTATGAATCAGCGAGTCCAGCCTGTATCAACGAGGCATGGTGGGGGAAACCAACGCCTAACCAACCTCTGGTTCTACAGCCAGATGCCTAAACCACTGATGAATTCATATCTTGCCCCTTTTTTCTAGATTGGGGTAGATGATCTCAGGGGCATGGGGATCAGAGTTTTGCTCCCTGTGTCTACCATGCCTGAAAATTGACATTTTTGTCTATTAAACAAACAAACAAACAAACGAAAAGTGTCTGGGCAGGCATTTCTGGTGTCTGCCTCTTCATTCTTGGGAGAGTGGAGGAACTGAGGTGGACCCCTCAAGATCCCTGAAGTGAAAACTGCAGGAGCAAAAAATAGGCTAGTTTGGGGCAAAAACCATCCCTCCCCATTTGTAAATTTGATGCCCTGGAGTGCCCTTGGGGGATGCAGACATGCCACTGGAGGGCTGTGTATTCCATTAGCAGGCTGCCTGATATGTTCCCATTATAGATATCGATCATACATTCTCTACTGTGGTTGTTGGACCATACATTCTATTTTATGGACCAAATTTTCTTCAACCCAGCTTGAATTCAGCCGGTTCCTCACACAACTGAAAAAAATGCTGTTTTCAAACTCTCAAGGATAATTTTAGGGAAATGATGTTATTTGGAGCAAAAATAGCCGACCCTTTATCTATTCTATAGATAAAGCTGGAGGGGTCTGTGAGTTCCACCCTCTAAAAGTATCTGTAGTCAGTTCCAAAAGAGGGAGTTATTCTCTTAGCCTTGTTGCAGCAAGAACAGATAAAACAAAGATCCACAAGAATAGTCTAATTAGCTTTTTATTCATCTTTTAAAAGCACAAAATGGACCTGTTCTTGCTGAAACAGGGCTAACAGAACAGTTAATGCTGTTGGACTGTAACTCTCAGAATCACTGAGAAATACCTTGACTGTGCAAATAAAGGTTCTGGGTATTGTGGTCCAAAATGTGAAATGGCTAAGGTTGGGGCTACATAGTATAAACCTACGGCAACTTAAAATATTAGAACAAACATATTTAAAAAACAAAACAACCACCACCCCCCCAGCAACCTTGTTTTTAGGAACCTCTTGTTTGGTAGCCAGTTACTGAAAGGAAGTTTGCCTGAAGAGAAAGGCCTTTTGCCTGCTTGCTGAAAAACAGCCAAGAGGGGGCCAGCCTGGCCTCCAGTGGGAGGGAGTTCCGCAGTTGGTTTTACCAACTCTGGTAGTGTTTCTTATAGAAGGAATGTAGTTCGCTACTTCACACAAACCTGACCATCCACTAGCACAAATTTCTGTGTGTTACATTGAGTGGAGAGGCATGGTCTCTTTTCATGAAATGGAATTTTATTCAGTTACTTATTCAGGAATAGTCCTGTATTTCTGATTAGCAGCTGGACAGTTGAGAAAACTGACAAGGGAAAAATTGATTCCTTTGAAATATGGTGCTGGTAGACCGCTTTGCAGATGCCCTGGACTGCCGGAAAGATGAACAAGTAAATCCTAGATTAAATAAAGGCTGAACTGTCTCTGGAGGCAAACATGTTGAAATGGAGGCTGTTCTACTTTGGGAACATTATGAAAAGGCAGATTTTTTTTTAAAGGCAATATATTTATTTAAAATATTTTTGCCCTTTCTTTCTCCTTAAAAAGAGCAATGTGGCTTTCATCATTAAAAGACGATATTAAAAGTAACAGCAGTGAGTATACAAATACTGTACTAAAAGGATCAAACAAAGACCATACTAAAAACATAAGTAACACCAAAACACATTAAGAGCAGTAAGGTACAGTAAGTCCATTTTAAAAAAATACATACACACAGTTAGTCAAGGAAAGCTTGCCTAAAGAGAAAAGTCTTTGTCTGCTTCCAGAAGGACAGCAAAGATGGGACCAGTCTGGTCCCCAGTGGAGGGAGTTCCAAAGTCTAGTAAAAACAACACAGAAGATCCTCTCCTGTGTGCCCACCAAACACACCTGTGAGGGTGGCGAGACTGAGAGAAAGGCCTTCCCTGATGATCTTAACACTCAAGCAGGTTCATAAAGGGCGACGTGGTTCTTGAGACAGCTTGGACCCAAGCCATTTAGGACTTTATGTGTTAGAACCAACACTTTCAATTCTGCCTGGAAACAGATTGGCAGCCAGTGAAGTTGTTATAACACGGGAATTATGTGATCACTGGGAGTATCCCTAGATAACAATCTGGCTGTTGCATTTTGGACCCATTAAAGTTTCTGGAGATGGAGTGCATTGCAACAATCTAGCTGAGATGTAATTAAGGCATTTGTTACTGTGACCAGACTTCCCAAGGAATGGTCATAGCTTTGCACTGTTTTTAATTGTGCAAAGGCACTCCTGACTGCCACCAAGCCCTGGGCATCCAGGCTGGGAACAGTGGAAGGCAGCAGGAAAAGGGAAGATCAAATTTGAGATGGATGGACTCTCTAAAAGAAGCTTTGTAAGAGCTGAGGAAGGCAGTTGAGGACAGAGCCTTTTGGAGGTGGCTCCTTCGTAGGGTCGCTGTAAGTCGGAAGTGACTAGATGGCACGTAGCAAGAAACTGGATGAAATATGTCATCACTCTAAAAGGTTTCATGTCATAAACCTCTTTTGGCATTTAGCAGCCAATTCTGCTTTACGATTACAACACTATTTTAAAAATGTAATGATCATTCTATTGACTGTTTGGAGGCTTCCTGCTGCCACAGTGAGGCCCCTTGATCTACCTCTGATGGCAGTGGCTATAACCTAAATGCTATGCGATATGTGGAAGGGAGAGTAACTGAGGTCACTCGAACAACTGGGGCTCCGGATATAAGAATATCTGTTTCATTTATTGATTTAGAGCTATTTATGCCTTTCCCTTTGAGCTTTAGGATCGCTCATAGTGGGGAAAGTCACAACAGTCCATTACTACTTTTAAAAATCAAAATAAATGTAAGGAAATCTAGAAACACGCAAACAACAGGCAGTGAAACAAAATTAATATAACATGCTGACGGAGGAATAAAAACATATTTAGCTGATATCTACCACATTTTTCCGTGTATAAGACACCCCCATGTATAAGACACCCACCACTTTTCTAACCCCAAATTAAGAAATCTAAGTGGGGCTTAGCAAGTGTAGGGGGGAAGGGATCAAAGCACTGCAGGATTACTTTGATCCCTGCTTTCCCCTCCACTTGTGTTTGTTCTCTCCTCAGCTTACTTCCGTGTATAAGATGACCCTCACTTTTTAGTCTGAAGATTTTAGACAAAAGTATAGTCTTATACATGGAAAAGTATGGTAAATGTTGAATATGCCTGATGAGAATATTCTGTAGTCTGAATTTTATCTAACAAAACACCATATTTTTAGATTTTGCCATATCTTAATCTGCACATGCAGATCTAACCATTGATAGCTAATTGCAATGTTGCACATTAAGAAAGATGTCTGTTACCATCTGATTATATTCTCCCCACAGACATACAGAATCACATTCAGAAGTCACATTCAGGAAAACTGTACATATTTTGAGAAATAATTGATGTGAACAACTTGTATACTGAGGGTAACCAGGTGATAAAAGGTGGTAATTTTTAGGGTTGGAATGGTTGCCAGGTTTAAAAAGGAACTGGGTTATTCTTTGTGGGAAGAATCCTGGAGTATTTTTATTTTATGGTTGTTGTGGATTTTTCGGGCTCTTTGGCCATGTTCTGAAGGTTGTTCTTCCTGACGTTTCGCCCGTCTCTGTTGCTGGCATTTTTCGGCAGAGGACTGGAGTAGGAACTCTGTCCATGCTCTGCACTTCTGTTCCTACTCCTGTTCCTCTGAAGATGCTGGCCACAGAGACTGGCGAAACATCAGGAAGAACAACTTTCAGAACATGGCCAAAGAGCCTGAGAAACCCACAACAACCATCAGATCTCGGCCATGAAAGCCTTCGATAATACATATTTTTATTTTATTTTTTTAATCTTGGTTTTGCGCGATACACGCAATAATGATTTCATGGGGTGACGGTGGTAGCAAAATAGCTAAGTTTTTAACTTATTTATTCTACTATCCCTATCAGAACATCTGGCTTTAAACTCTGTTCTTTATGAATATACTTCAAAAATGCAATAAGGAATGGACTGGGGAAGCAGTAGCTATAATAAATTGTGTGTAAATAAATCATTTCACTCAAATGTTTTGTAACTGAGCATTCTGCCTTTCCCAAGAGAAGCGTTGTTCAACCAGCAAAAGAATTTACTTACTGGCAAGCTGGAACACAGCAGCGATGGCTTCTTCCCACCACTGGGTATTCTGAGAAATAACGGACAGTTCTACCAATCCCAACATGAAAAGAAGCTGACCGGCTGTCAAAGCGACTGTGGCAATCATGTTACAGGCTCGCATCATGTCAAACTGCACTGTGAGGAATGAAAAGATGAAACAACATTATTACAAGAGCATAAATGTGAGGGGGGCTCAGAAGCAAACATTGTCAGTCTCACAGAAAAAAATAATCTGTAATAGCCAGTCTAATTCACATTTATATTTCTCTACTGTTGTTATTTTATGACAGAATTCCTCACATTCTTTACAGCACAAACTCCCACGAAAGACATGCATATTAAAGACACTGTCATCACAATGTTAAACATCCACTGACTTTCTTACCAACCAACCACAATCTCTGTATTGGGTCCTTTTGTGGAGAAAGGCGAGGTAAAAACATTTTAAATAAATATTGAATATCTTTATTTTGAAAAAAAGAGAATAGAACAGAACAAGCTTTATTATTTAAAACCATAGGTCATCACAATATGAGCAGCAACACAAAGTGGCACTGACACAATATAGCTATACATGTATACAAGATGACATAGCTTCCTTTCTTTCTTAAGACTTTTGATGCTTGGCACATATTTCTTTGCTGCCAAAGCAAAGTTTGCTACTTGATAGGTAGGGGTTACATCCCCACCCACAATCAGCATACAAAGTTGAACCAATTGGGGTCTATCACACAGGAGTCTGAGAACGTCAGCAAGAAGTTGACTTCTGGGGTGCTCATATCAAGGGCAACTTAATAAATAATGGAAAGGTTTTTGTCTTCTTCTTTCTGTTTTGCTTTTATCCATAGTGCTTGCACGGACTGACATGACTCCCTCTTCTACAACTACAACTATTGCAAATATAGTTGGGTACTTCAGCAAATACGAATATCAAAGAATTTCAGAAGAAAGTCAATCTGTGAGTTACAAGCAGTCTTTGACAGTGTGAATCACAAAAAGCTGTGGACTTGTCTTAAAAGAAATGTGTCTCAGCATTTGATTGTCCTGATGACCTATGAACTAGGTGCGAAGCTGCCGTTGAAACAGAATGTAGATACAGTGGTTTCCCATAGGCAAATGGGAAGATGACAGAAGAAAATACGTTCATTTGAAATATGGTGCTGGAGAAGATCTTGACAAATAACATGGACTCCCAGAAAGACAAATAAATAGGTACTAGATTAAATGAACCCTGGATTCTCCATTGAAGCAAATAATGAATAAACTGAGGTCATTGTACTTTGGGCACATCGTGAGAAGACAAGATAATAATGCTGGGAGAAATTGAAGACTGCAGGAGCTGGGTAGCTCAATGGTGTAGGCATCTGGCTGCAGAGCCAGAAACTGAGAGTTCAGTTCCTCACTGTGCTTCCTTGACAGGGGCTGGCCTCGATGATCTATAGGCTCTCTTTGAGTTCTGCTGTTGTAAGTGTATTATTATTAAAACTGATTGTCAGATGGAGTGACTCATGTAAAGGAAGCCACAGCCTTGAGGCTGAAAGATCTGAGTGGGGCTGTTGATGAAAAGACCTTTCAAAAGTCAATATTTTAGGGCCACCTTAAGTGAGAAGTAACAGGGGTCTCCAAACTTTTCATTTTGAGGACCACATCATATATTTAACACATTTTCAAGGGGTGAACAAGGGGGTGGGGGACTGCTTCTGTCAGGCTTCGCTCGTCTTCCTCTCTCCACTCGGGCATAGGAAGAGGAGGGAAAGGGGACCCAAGTCATCTCCCACCCCACCATCTTTTCAAAGAAGGGATTGCTTTGGTCCCCCCTTCCGTCTTCTTCCTGGGCCTGATAAAAAGGCAGGACGGGCCAAATGTGGCCCGCGGGCCGTAGTTTGGAGACCCCTGGCATATAACAACACAGCTTTACAGTTTCAAATCTATACCTAGCAAAAACTGACTCAATAAAAGAAGCCACAGCCTTGAGTTTGCAACAGCTGAGCAGGGCTGTTGATTATAGGCCCTAAATCATAAGATTGTTGTATGTCTGAATCAACTTAATGGTATATAACAAGAACAACACCATTTTTTCCTGTGTTACATAGTACTCTGAGACTAGCTGTTTTGCTTATGTATGATTTCCTTTTGCTTTGTAACAAACAATATATATCGTACCTTTGTTGTTTAGTTGTTTAGTCGTGTCCGACTCTTCATGACCCCATGGACCAGAGCACTCCAGGCCCTCCTATAGTACCTATGAACTCGCAATTAAAATCTTAATATCTATTGCAAACAAACCCTTCTCTGTGTTTTTTTTTCCTGGTGTATTATATATTGTTATTTATAAGATCGGCACAATTATATGTGACATTTCTGGTAATCGTTAATTTCTCCATCTGTTCGATGCTGTCATGAAGACAGAAGAATCTGTGGGGCCTCACATTTCATTCTGGATACATTTAAAAAAATCTGTTGTTTTGCCTACTTTTAAAACTTAATTATTAGATGGTTTTTCATGTATAACTATGGCCAGAACCTTATTGGTGTTTCTTTAAGGTTTTAATAACTTGCTATTAATTACCGCTACTTGAGAAAATGCTGAAGGCCATCTGGTTGTGCAGCTAGACATGCGACTGAGCATGAAACCTGGCAATAATCTATGGCAAGTTGTGCAAACTTTATACAAACACCACCAAGATTCTGGTCTCTATATTACTGATGGGACAGTTCAGTAAATCCTAGTTTCTTTTCATTTCAGACGCTTTGTAGAATTTAAGAACCACAGCAGATCTTTTAACATCATTGTACAAGTTTTGATGCTCAGGGCTGTCATAGCTTTTTAGAAGTCTGTTTTCAGTGTTATATCTTTTAACATGCAGGTCAGTTTTTCTGCTCCTGCAGTGGTCTCTGATTAAACTTACTTTGCGGGTGTTTCATTTTACTTTTTATGTGGTATCTGACAAAGAAGGTTTCTGTATAACAGACATGGTTAGGGCTAAGGATGTAACAAATACTTTAAAAATGTTTTGATGAGTTTCCCTGACTTGTTACTCCAAGATCCATACTGGAATCCTGCCCATTCCCGAGAGGTTTCTTGGCACTACCATGAGAGTGAGATGTCTCGTTTCTCTTTCTCTCCCCCCCCCCCTTTGCATTTTTCCCTCAAAGGAAACAAAAAATGTAGTGCAGAGTCAAGAAATTCCTCAACAGGATTATTGTGCAGGATTAGGGATAGTCTGTACAAAATAGAAAGGAATTTCCTGCAAGAGCAACAGTGGAGCATTCAAAGATGAAAAAAAGAAAACAATTTTTTTTTAAAAAAAGAGATCTTTTGAGAGGTGCATGGGTAACTTGAGCTGTAGGGCAAGCAACTCCTTTCTAAGTTGTCCGATAACTGCATGTTAGCAATGGTAAACACAAAGCAAAGTGTGCTGCCTATATACCACTCCATAGCGCTTAAAGCACTCTCTGGTTGGTTTACAGTTTAATTATTCAGGCTACAGATTGCTCCCCCAACAAGCTGGGTACTTCATGTACTAACCTCAGAAGGATGGAAGGCTGAGTGAACCTCAAGCCAGCTACGTAGGATTGAATCCATGTCGTGAACAGAGTTTTGGCTGCAGTACTGAGGATTGAATCCATGTCATGAACAGAGTTTTGGCTGCAGTACTGCATTTTAACCACTAGGCCATGAGGTTTCTCCAGTGTGCACCGTATTCTTGGTGTGTGAGTGTGCGAGTTGGTTCCTCTGCTGCCCATATTTTTCATAGAGATTTAGGGCTTGTGTTAGGTGCAGCAGTGCTGATTGTGTGACCCCTAGAGATTGCCAAGTGGCAATACCGATCAGTCCCTGCTAGCGTGTCATTTGTTAGAGCCTCGTTTTCGTGCCTAATATGTTGCATATTTCCACTAAAAGATACTGTGATTATGTGTGTGTGTGGGGGGGTAATCCCTAACCTTTAATGGCACAGATTTGCATTGTGGGGAGCCTAATGTGTGAGTTTTATGTCATTTTGTTGGATATTCCTTTTATATGAACAGACCACACATTGCATTAATCGTTGGAGACTAGAGATGAGCACGATTTGTTTCCTGCCTCAAGAGGTCTTCAGTGGTTTGGCTCCCTGCCCCTGCCCACAGGGGTCCGCTCAGAGGCAGCCCCCAGAAAAGGTGGAGCAGGGAAGCCAGGACCCTGCCTCTGAGCGGGCAGGGCACCTAATCACCAAATACCTGTTGCGGCAGTCAATGAATCAGGACGAACCACCAGTTTGGCAGTTCATACCGATCTCTACTGGAGACATCTCTTTCCACCCATTTGCTTTTGGAGATTTAATTGGCTAGGGTACAAAATTAGGATCTTCTCAGTAGTGGGATCCAGCTGTGAACATCTGTCTCCTGAGAGGTGTGATTAGGCCTGTTGTTCATATTTATACGGTCAGTTGCAACCCTTTAGCTCAGTGATGGTGAACCTTTTTGGGCCCGAGTGCC